TGACCATGTGACCATGTAAGGGACAGCTAAAGAAAGGTATAGTCTTTCCAGTAAGCAGTAAAAGAATGCTGAAGTATTATTACTTCCAAACTCACAGAGTACATGAAGTACACTAAAAAAATATAAATGGGGAGATGATGTATATACAATTTATATAACACTTACTGAGCTATTTAGTGAAGTAGACTGTATCTGTACATTATAATCATTGTGTATTATTTTAACATTAAAAGTATTATACATGAAATACAGAATTCTAGAAAGATGTTCTTTGCCTTCTGATGGGTTACATCCTGATAAATACATCAAAAATGTATTATATACACCTAAGCCACCAAATTTCAGCTTAACACAGTGTACCCAAGACCACCAGTTGTTGGTCTCCTGACCTTGCTGGCACTGCCCAGTGTCAGGAATAACAGTATCTTACCACGTCTTCCCCTAGCCTGAATAAAGACTGAAATTACAGATTTGAGATATCACTTCTACTGAATATCTATCAGTTTATCACTACCTTGTAGGAAATATTTTACTTGCATTTTAATAAATAAAGCTTGCCTGAAGATCAGAATGCAAAGCTAAGCCACTAGAGGCCAGGCAGTGGTGTCACTGTCTGGTGTCAACTTTAACCCCAGGATTTGGGGAGACAGAGGCAGACGGATCTCTGTGAGTTCAAAGATACTCTGGGCTACACAGGATCAATCCAGAAACAGACCCAAGTGGTGGTGGTTCATACCTTTAATCCCAGTGTTTGGGAGTCAAACAACTTTAATCCCAACACTTGGGAGGTGTAGACAGGAGCAATATGGCTGGGCGGACAGAGGACTATAAAGGGAAGAGACAGGAACTCAGTGGAGTGTGGAGTCTGAAAATTAATGGAGACAGGATCTCCCCCATTCAGCCTGAAGATGTGATAGAGGCAGAAGGTCTTTCTAAAGGTTGGCTATTTTGTTTTTCTGATCTTCAGCTTGAATCCCAATATTTGTCTCTGGGGTTTTTTATTATTCGTGCTACATCACCCCAAAGCCAAAAAAATCTTAAGGCAAAAAACCAAGTCAGAGATAGCATATACTTTTATCTTCAACTTCTCAACAAATACACTATTTCAAAATGAAAGGGTTTTTTTTAAAAAAAATGAACTGAGTCACTGATAAAAGAGGATGCCTTACTTACAGGAAAATAGATTAACCTGCATATTTTGAATAGCATAACCTCAAAAAATAAATATGCACCTCTCTCTCTCTCTCTCTCTTTCTCTCTCTCTCTCTCTCTCTCTCTGTGTGTGTGTGTGTGTGTGTGTGTGTGTGTGTGTGAAGGGAGAAATAGACTCCATTATAAAGAGCTTTAACATACAGCAAATTGTCAGCAATTATCACTAATAAAAGAGATTCATACATATACAAATAATTAATGAAAGAAAATTTTAAGGAAAGAGAATTGAGCAACAGCCTTAATAAGAAACAGATAAAACAGTCCATCCATTGATGAATCCATATCACATGCACAGACATGTTTTGTAAACAACCATATACAAATTAATAACAAGTTATAATGATTATTCATTTATTCAAAAAATGTCTATATGGTTTATATTTTGATCTTTATATGCATTACATTTCATAAAAGTTTTTTTTAAAGTTATTATTATCTTTAAAACTGTATTAGCAAAATCCTTAAGACAAAACTACTAAGAAGCCCTGTGCAGTGGAGCATGTCTTTACTACCAGCACTAGGGAGGCAGAAGCAGGAGGATATCTCTGAGTTCAAGGCCAGCCTGGTCTACATAGCAACCTCTAAGACATCCAGGGCTAAATAGAGAGAGACTGTCAAAAAAATTAAAAGAAGAGATACTGACAAGTTTCAAGAAGAAACAATAAAATTCAAGATTATAGACTGCAGTAAAATGAACAGTGTTATAGTCCAGTTATTTCTAAATTATGTAAATCCAAGCACAATGAAAGCAATCTCAATGTGTATGTATAGCTCATCTAATGCAAAACTGTATATTTATAAGAATATACCGCCTACTTGTATATATTCAAAATAGAATAAAATTAAAAAGAACAATACTTTCCATTTTAGCAACATCAGAACCAGGGTTGCTCTAACCAATGGTCAAAAACAGTTCTATGGAAAATCTGTCCCATTATTCAACCACTTCAGTGAAGCACCAAACCAGCTACCCCTTTAAAATAATACTTTATGCTGCCAGATTAGAGACTCAAAAAACAAAACAACGGAAACTATAACCCAAAACAAAAACTGGGGATATAGTTATGATTAAATTTAATACTTCAGGACATAAAACTAACTATTCCCAAACATATTAAAGTAAACAAGTTAAGTGCAAAGGCCCATAGCTGTACTATCAGCTACTTGGTGGGCTAAGGCAGGAAGATGTCTGGAAGACAAGAGTTCAAAGCCAGCCAGAATAATTAATGATGATAATAATAACGATGACAACAAAAGACTCCAGGCATGGTAGTGGACATCTCTGACACCAGCAGACAGCTCTCCAGGGTCAGAAACAGGAGAATCAAAACCTTAGACACCCTCAGCTACTTAGCTAGATTGAGGACAGCATAGAGGACAGGAGATCCTGAGTTGTTTTTTTGGCTGCTCTTCCAGAGGTCCTGAGTTCAATTCCCAGCAACCACATGGTGGCTCACAACCATCTGTAATGGGTTCTGGCGCCCTCTTCTGGCCTGCGGGTATACATGGAGGCAGAATGTTGTATGCATAATAAATAAATAAAATCTTTAAAAAAATACAGTACAATAAAATAAAATAAATAAAAAGGATTTAAAGTGAGAGACTACAATGTCGTTCTGTTGTTTAAACTCTCACGAAGAGCTACTTCTTTCACTAATTTTTCTGAATTTAATAAATTTAATAAATAACACATTTGCTACTTATTGCTGCCGAACAGATTATTTCATTAGAATTTATTTTAAAAGTACTTACATAAACCATTATTGTGTCAGAAGGTGTGGCCTATCTTAAATCTGTGTTTGCTTAATAATCAAAGAATCAATATAACATTGCTAGACTACCCCTAAATGTCTCAATATACTTCTAATACATTTTAAATTTAATACATATTAAATTCACTTCTAAAAACCCACCTAAAAGTAGAACTTGTCTGCTGTAAATGTTAACTGAGATAATAGGCAAGCTGGAGCAGTTCTGAGCAGCCATTATTTAAATACAGCAGGGGCTGGCAAACTTCAGACCACAGCACAAATTCAGTCCAGGTACTCAGCCAAAATTATTAACCAGGGGGAAGCATTAGGCTGTAATGGCTCCAGTCCCTAGAATTCCTATGCAAGTAAATTCAAATCCAATGATTACTATTGGTACAAGCAGGGTTTTCTGTAATGCAAATACTATTATGCTGTTTTATTTTTAAAAATGTAACCTTTTACGTATGTTGGTATTTTGTCTACATGTATGCCTTGACACCGAAGTGCACATAAGAATGCTAAGAGGGCAGAAGTCATAGATTTCCTGGGACAAGAGTTAAAGAAGGTTGTGCGCACCATGTAGATGCTGGGAATCAAACCAGGTCCTGTGCTTCTAATCGCCAATCTATCGCTCCATCCCTTATTATGTTCTTTCTTGATCTTGATACCAGATAAAAGAGCATACATGATGAAATGCAGTGAGTTGTACACATGACTTAAACACTTGAAAGTTACCACACAAAGATTTGTATTTCATACTCTGCGTCTTTAAAGAATAATAAATAAAAAATGTGTCTATCACCTATTCATATTTGTTTTGCCATCATTACTTTAATGAAACAATTCATATTGTCTCACTTTGAAAAAGTAAACCTCAATTAGTTTTACTGGCATACTATTACATAGGACGTAATCTAGTTTGATTTCCACTGTTTTGATAAATACCAAGACTAAAAGCAACATGGGGGCGGGAGGAAGGCTTCCATCACCCAGGGAAGCTACCAAAGTTGCTCAAGGCTAGAATCGGAAAGCAGGAACTGAAGCAGACTCTAGGGAGTAACCCTGCTTAATAGCTTGCTCTCCATGATTTGCTTGGCTTGCTTTCTTATACACCTGAGGACCACCTGACCAATGGTGATACCGTAACCCACAGTGATCTGGGCCCACCCAAATCAATCATCAATTCAGGAAAATGTCCAAAGACATGCCCACAGGACAATCTGATGAACACAATTCCTGGCAAACTGACAAAGGAAAAAAAAAAAACATACAGGGTGACAGCCTATGTAATGATTACATAACTGTCATTTTGGGCTTTCCAGATAGAAGACCACACTGTATAAAGTGAGTAACTCGTGATTAGTAGAAAGTTGTCCTCCCTTAACCCTGTCCACGACCACTGGGATTTAACTCGCATAAAATGCCCGAAGGAGCCCACCCAAAGTCCTGTTCTCGTAGAAAGGTGTTTCTTTAGACCACCCTCTTCTGACCTGCTGTCTTGTAGTTTAGCCAGTTCCTTCCATCGAGCTTCAAGAACTTCCCCGGTAAGTACCACTGGGAGGTGTCATCCTCCAGTCAGAAAAGTCGCCTCCTGGATGTGGTGAACCCGGAGCTGGCATCCCTGCGCTCTTACCAGCGGGCTCCGCGCGTGTTGCGCGACCCAGGAGTCTGGCTTGTACTTTCCAGGGTGAGAACTCTAAAGCGCTCAAGTGTCCCGCAAGGGCACACAGTGGATGGGCGGTCCAACCAGGGCTGAAACCCGACCTCGCCAAGACTTAGAGGAAAAACAACCCACACTTTGGAATCAATGTTCAGTCTCTTTAACTTTTGCAAGCCCGAGCCGAAACCAGAGGAGAAGGAGCAGTGCGTCACCTGAGAACCCCGCGACACCGGCCCTCGAGGGTGGCCGGCACGCTCCGGGCCAATTCCGAGCACACCTCCTCGCATCTCCAGGGGCTGCGGCCGGAAGTGGGGAGCCGGCTGCAGCCCACCCCGACCTGCTGTCTCTTCCCCAACCCTCCCGGTCCACGCTGTTACCTAGGGAGCCGCGGGAACCCTCCGCGCCCACTCCGCTCGCTCGCGCAGTCTCTCAGGCCTGAGGCGCGGCCACCGAAGTAGCCAATCTCCGCGCGCCCGCTGCGCGCGCCCCCGAACGACCAAAAGGGGCGGGGCGGACGATGTGGGGGGCGCCACGAGGTTGCGCGCACCGGGCATGCGCGAGCCCGCTGGCGACCTCGGGGCGGGGCTTCCGGCGAGCCTGGGGCCACAGGAGGTGCGATGAGGAGCTGGAGAGGAAGGCGGCCGAGGTCGCCCTTGGGGCAGTTGCGGGCTTCTGTCCAGACAAACTCTTGACTGGCTAGAGGAGGGGAAACGTGGGGTGCGTGGGCGATCTTCACTGGGCGGAACTGTGGTTTCCCTCCGTGGAGTGAGGTTTGTGCACGCACAGGAGGAAGGATGCTGCAAAGTGAGCCGGAGTGAGATCTTGATGCTGGCCAAAGAACGTTTCAGAAAAACTTTAAAGCTGGTGGCAGTTTTTACTTCAGGACTAGAGAGAGTGTATTCTAGACCATGTGCATTCTCCACATGTTCTGTCTCAGAATTTCAAAGAAAAACTTGAATACCAAAGATGTTTCTTTATTGTAGAGTTAAAGAGGTAACATGAAATTTTATCTGAACTGATATCTGAGCTGATATCAAGTATTTCCTCTGAGGAATATGGAAAGAAGTGGTGCCTCTGCTGCCCAGTCTGATGCAGAACTCCTGCCTCCACCTCGGCCTAGCTGCTGGGAATTAACACTGGCACCTTAGTATTGAGTTTAAAAGTCACTTTAATTACATTACCTAGTATTCTTTGAGTATTTGCTGAGTGTGTACTACGTGCCAAGTACACTTCTGGATGCTAGGATAATAAATAATATTATCACTAATAGTAGATTTTACACCCCCAGCAGAGAACAAACATAAGTGGTGAGGATCACCAAAGTTAGTGGACAAAGACAGTGAAAGGAACTTACTAGTAAGGACCAAAATGGGTAAAGTTTGTGGAAAAGAACGAACAAACTGGATTAAATTATTTGGAGTAAATAGAGTATAATATTTTAAAAGTTTATTCATGTAACCAATGACTGACTAGTACTCTGAAGTGACTTGTGACAGATTCAGCCTTAAAAATGCATTTTTAACTTTATTTATTTAATGCTTTACATTACAGGGTTGAATCATATTTTTATGCACATAAAATACCATTAAAAATATGGCTATGGTGGTGCACCTCTGTAATCCCAAACCTTTGAAGAATGATCATAAATTTCAGGACAGTCTGGGATACATAGCAAAACACAGTTTCCAAAAGAGAGAGGTGGAACAAACTTCTTAATCATGAGCCCCTGTAAACTGAAAACTCAAATTGTGTTCCAGTAGACAATTGTGTTCCAAAGAGAACAAGATAGCAAGGGAAAAATCACATCAAAGCAACACTAAAATTCAGCTCAATAGAGTTTCTTGAAGCTCCACATTCCACGGCTGAAATTGTTTGGGCCCCAACAGTCTTGCACAACCCTCTGGGCCCCAACTCTACTGCCTTTTGCTCGTGTGGCCTCTGCCATTGGCTGACTTCCTTCCATGTCTACAGCTTTTCTCAGTGCATCTCCCACAGTTCTGGCATCTCTAATATCTTCCCAACTCCATGCCACAGCCTGATGTGTGATTCTCCTCTGTGTGCTGTGAATACCATGGGTTAATAAAGAAACTGCTTTGGGCCTATAGCAGAGCTGTAAGGAAACAGAGCTAGGCAGGTGGTGGGGGACACTAAACTGAATGCTGGAAGAAAGGAGGTGGAGTCAAGGAGAAGCCATGTAGCACCCCCCCCAACAGACACCTGTTACAGCCATGTGGTGATACACAAATTAATAGAAATGGGTTAGTTTGGAATAAGAGTTAGCTAGAAATATACTTAAGCTATTGGCCAAACAATATTGCAAATAATATGGATTTTATGTGATTATTTCACGGCTGAGCAGCCGGGAACCAACAAGCAGCCTTCCTCCAACAACAGGCTCTCCGGACCTCTTCATGGAATCCTGCTCTGCTGCATGTTGCCTGGCCTCCTCAGCTTCCTGTAACCTTAGCTCAAACCCACAATCCCCTTCACTCTTGCTTCCTTCATGCCTGCAAGTCAGTACCACTTGGACAAAGTTTCCAAGTTCTTGGCCACCATGAAATAGAATTACTTCTACTTTTAAAGCTGGATCTGAGAAAACACCTAAACAGGGACTTCTATTTTGCAGAGAAGCCCTGCATTGGCATTCTTGGTCCACACCCTCCATTCAGGAAAATTTGGATATTAATAAGATGGAGCCTTGGATGGGTAGGATCTTGCCCACAGGACACCTTTCCTTTTGTCCCAGTACAGAGTAGATTTCTCTTTAGTGCCACTAATCTGTTGAATGACCACGACTGATTTCCTGGTCGCCATCTTGTCTACAACTTTAAACTTGCTCAGAAAATGGCACCCATTTTCATATCTTTGAGTTCTGCCTCCTGCTCTCTCTCAGTGCAGACCTGGATAAGAATAGTGAGCTGTGACCATGACATAGCCTTTTTCTGCTGTGACCAAATAGCCAACAAAAGCAACTTAGAGAAGGCTTTATTTTGGTTTACAGACTAAGAAGAGATAATGTCCGTCATAGTGATGGAGTCTAATGACAGGATGGCCAAATAGCTGGTCACACTGCATCCATGGTCAAGAAGCAGAGAACAAATGGGAAATAGGGCTGGGCTATACAACCCATTCCCAGTGACCCATTTCCTCTAGTAAAGGTTCATTTACCAGAAGTTCCACAGCCTCCAAAATAAAGAATCCAACTGGAAAAGATCAAGGTCAAATACTAGGCATCCCTAACAAGTCAGGTTCAACCACCTAGCATTAAGAGGCCAATTAGACAATTAATAATGAAAGGCAGAAAAAAATATATTCGATGTGGACAGAATGGGAAGAGGAACATAGAGATTCAAGGACCTCTCCCATCTCCCAAGTCAAAATTCAGGGCCCTAACTAGAGGACAACAGGTGTGTATAACTAAGCAGTCCTATCCAAAGTGTGATCTATCTTTTGAATTTAAACTCTTCTGCAAGGTGGACTGTCAACTTGTCCAAAATGTGAAATGGCTGTCCAGGAAGCAAGATCTCCCTCAAGCTGGTACGATGGTTTTAGCCTTTGTCTTGTATGAGAATTCTGGGGAAAATTGCAAATTCTTAGGTTCCATTGCCTCAGTAGTCTGATAGCCAAAAGGAGGGGCAAAAGTGTCTCTTTGGGATATCTCCATTCCTGCCAGGACTTTAACAGGACAAATTGTTCAAGTATTTGAGCCAATAGAGGACATTTCATGTTCAAATTCTAGCCAAGTGTGATGAGTGAATTACTTGGGGAAGATATTCAGTTCATATGCAGTAGTGTTTTCTGAATTGGAATGAAGATAAAAACATGAGAGTAAAATAAAGATAATAGTGTTGACTGAGGTTTCTGTCTTGCCCAGTCCCTGCAGTCATTAAGTTCCAAAGAAATCACACAGAGATCTACATTAACTATAAACTGATTGGTCCATTAGCTCAGGCTTCTTATTAACTCTTATAACTTATATTAGCCCCATTACTCTTGACTATGTTAGCCACGTGGCTTGGTACATTTTTCGATGAGGCAGTCACATCTTGCTTGCTCTGTGGCTGAATCAGGACTGCAGACTCTTCTTCCCAGAATTCTTCTATTCTCATCACCCTGCCTCTACTTCATGCCTGGTTGTCCCGCCTATATTTCCTGGCTACTGGCCAATCAGCATTTTATTAAAATGCAATTGACAGGGTACAAAGCGTTGTCCTACAGTATAATAGCTACTGTTAAAATGTCCGCATCGAATCACATGACTTTCGAATACATCATGAATGCATGACTTTCCAATACATCATGAAACATACCCATTTTACAAATCACTTTTCTAAAGGATTGTGATTCATTTTTGAATCCTTTTTTTCAGAGTTGAGGATCTAGCCTGGGTCTTCACACATGTCAGAAGAGTATGTAACCACTGAGCCACCACAACTCCAGAAGGGGCATTATGCGTGGTACTAGAAACCTGCCCAACTTCCCAGGGCTAGTGAGGCCATGGTTCTAAGAGGAGAACCTTCTACTTCCTCTTCACTGAACCAGCATGATTCCTAAGTATATTCTAAATACTTATCCTTCTACCCACAGGCAAGTGTAGATTTCATCCCTCATCAAAGAAGCCTCTCTTTTCAGCAGATTTTTTACTTTAAGACACGTTCTCACTGTGTAGTCCAGACTGGACTTAAATCCTTTTTCTTCTGTCTCAGCCTTCCAGGTGGTAAGTGTACAGGCATGTGCCACCATGCTGGGCTCTAGGCTTTTTAAAGCAATTTTAAGCTTACAGAAACTTGAACAGATTGCACAGAAAGAGTTCTTTCCTTAAGTTTCCCATATTATTAAGCTCTTTCATTACTATAATGTATTTGTTATAACTAATACAATAACTGATAAATTATATAGTGGTTTGAAAAGGAATGTCCCCTATAGGCTCATATCTTTGAATGCTTGGTCATAAGGAAGTTACGCTGCTTAAGATGGATAAGGACATATGGCCTTGTTGGAGGAAGTTATCACTGGGGTCAGTGTTTGGAATTTCAAAAGGTTAAGCCAGGCCCAGTGTCTGTCTCTTCCTGCTGCCTACAGATCTAGATGTAGGACTCTCAACTATCATGTCTTCCTGCATGCTGCCACACTCCTCCCTGCCACGAGGATGATGAACTAAACCACTGAAACTGTAAGCAAGCTCCAATTAAATGCTTTCTTTGTGTAAGAGTTGCTGTGGTCATGGTGTCTCTTCACAGCAATAGAACCTAAGACACATTAACTAAAGTCCATAGTTTACATAAGTTATGGGTTGTATGCCCATTCATAGTGCAGTGCCATGGCATCTGTTAATGCACCATATCATGTGCCCACTATTACAATTTTAGGATAGTTTCATTCCCCCCAAATTTCCCAGTGCTTTGCTTTTTCATCCTTCTCTCCCTTCTTCTGAACCTCACCTCTGAAAACTACTGATCTTCATCAACACCTTAATTTTTCCCTTTTCCCAAAGGGA